ATCTCATAATTGTCTGATGTCTTCAGTAATAAAGAATGAATAGGTAAAGTCCTTCTATTTGAGGAAGAGTTCAACATTTTGGGAAATATGCCTATTTGTTGTCTTGATGAGAGTTAGATAAGACATGAGATTGATGTTGATCTTCTCATCTAAAGCAAAGCAAATACAAGTATTTCACAAAATGTCCAACTGTTTCTTTGTTATTTCATTACTTTCTCTCATTGTAGGATGCAAAACAAATAATGAATACAATACTCTTTTTTTAAAATGTGACTGAAAATGATAACTGTGATGTTACTGAAAATGATAACTGTGATGTTACTGAAAATGATAACTGTGATGTTACTGAAAATGATAACTGTGATGTTACTGAAAATGATAACTGTGATGTTACTGAAAATGATAACTGTGATTTGACTTATAGTTCTCTAGGCTTCACACATGACGTGTTTGCATTACACCGAACAAAACACAAAAAAAGATCACTGCCTTTAGGCCCCAGTCACACCGAGATGCGTCACTAGAAATGCGTCAAACAGCGAAACCAGTGTTTTCCAATGGTACACCCCCCCCCCCCTCCCCCCCCCCCCCATCTCCTGCACCGAGGGCCCTGTTGTTGAAGAGCTTTTTGGACCCAAATTAAAGTTTAAATATTCTCTTTTTTGCGTTAAGCTGCATTCACATGATAGTAAATGTTCTTCCTCACTCATCGCCAGGTATGGCACAGAGCCTTAGATGCGAGATAATTCTGTTTCTATGGCTACCTACCCTGCTTGCCTATGTCGCAGCCAATCAAATTAAGCGAAGAAAAAGCTTTATTACTTTACCACTTCCTTCCTCTTTTGATGTTGGGAGATGTAGAAAGAACAGTGGGACTATGGCAGATGCGGACAAAAGATTGATATTAGAAGTTTTTAAATAAATGTTACTGTATAATTCAAGGTTGTGTTTCCTCCTTATCTGATTGCACAGCAACGGCAAGAAGTCTGCTTTTGTAAAAAATTTCGCTCATAAATCTCTCCCGGTTGCTCCACAGGCGCAACACAGTTTTTCCGATGCGTTTTTGAAGCGGACTCGCTCGTCGCAATGCATCTCGTGTCATTAGAGCCTTATTGTATAGAGTTTGATGTCCTGCTATCTTTTAAGTGTATTAACAACAACTCAGTTAGAAACATGTATTGCTTTGAAAACTACCTATGATATTTAATCTTAAAATCCAATGTCTCATAATAAAGTCAAACCAAGCAGATCATTTCTCAGACTGTTTTAATGGAAACTTGTTTTTTTACCTCCAGGTTCTGGTCGACTTGAGAGCAGACAACCAGCGTCTTAAAGATGAAAATGGAGCACTGATCCGTGTCATCAGCAAACTCTCCAAATAAACGAAAAGAGAGACACGAAGAGCAGGGATCCCCCCCCCCTCCCCCCTCCATCCATCCATCCATCCATCCCTCCCTCCCTGCTTCCACACATTCCTCCCAGTGCCAAAGAGTGAGAGAAAGAGAGAGGGGGAGAGAAGCAGCAGAATGTCCTACGTACACGAACACCACAGCTTGACTTGGATTGTGAACAGCTGGAGTGGCTTTGGTGTGCCTTAGCGCCCGTTTGTCACAGGAAGACCTTTGGCATGAAGGCCTGTGGCCGAGCTCCCCCAACAGCAACATGAGACCCACAGCACACAGAACATCTACCACCGCTGTGCATCAGGGGAACATTAACGTGCACACACATTCCTATGCGTGCATCACATACTTCCTCCATGCACATTCCACGAGCGCGAAAGGCAGCTTGGTCCTTAAAGCTCCCACTGAGTATTTATTTTTTTGTGAACACACTCACGTCACACATTCACAAATTTACCCCAATCACAGTTCAAATCTGACGTGTTGTCAAGCAATGAAGGTTTTGAAGTTCTTTATAAAAAAAATAAAAAAAATTGGCTTGTCTTTGCATTCGGCACCGTCCTGACGACAAGGGGAAGTCCACAAAGCTCTGTTGGGTTGTTTTGTTTCCACATGCAAGTGTTTGAACCCACCTACCTCTCCACCTATGCACTTCCCCACATAGTTTTTTATTTTTGTGACCACAGACACACTCCATGCTCTTAAATAATGACCAGGTCAGTTGACCACAGCACTTTACACCCTGCGGAGCAATACAAGATTTGCCATGCTTTGCCCGTCCTCCAGACAGACAAACGTATGTCACAGCAGCACCCTCCCACTCAGTAAGTGGAGGGAGAAGTTACCGATAGCTGAAGGTCAAAGGTCATTGCACAATTATAAAGAATTGCTGTTCTGTCAAAGCCTATTATGCTATGAATGGTTTTAATTATTACCATTGTTAAAGATATTATTTTCATAGTTTTTCATTGTCAATTCCTCTCTTGCCAGGGAGCATGATTATGTATATTGTATGTGTATAAATATTAGTCTTGAATAATACCCCCCTTTGAAGTAAAATTCCATGTAGCCTTTCTTCACATGTTGGTTTTCTAATATATTGAATGGATGTCCGCACCCCAATAAAAAAAAGTGTTTGTAGCTACTGTCTGGTTATTATGTACATCGTGAGAATTTGTATCCATATTAGTATGAAGTATGAATGCTAGTTGGATTCCACACTTGGTGACATGTGAATGATGGAGTCATCAAATATCTCACTTTGAGATTAGTTTTCACCTGTTCTTTTGTTTTGTTTCTACCCAATTGTATCACTACTACTGCCTACAGTTGTTCTGTTTTCTAGAAGCCAGATGTTTTTCATCACTGGATACAAAAAAAGGAACGGTACAGCTGCAACACAGTGAGGAAACAGGGCAGCACGATGTATATACAGCATGTTTGGACTGTTCCATTAATCTATTGCTGCTCCCAGGTGGATACTACATCAGGAGTTGCTTGACTGACATGATAGATATGAGAGTGATTGCATGTGCTGTGGTAGACGTCTAGGTAGGAGCTGTGAAGGACCAGTTGTCCATTTGGACTGAAGTGTAGTTAAGATCCATCTGTTTGTCTCATCTGAGAGCAGGGAGATGGACCACTGTCCTGCAGGGTGGAAGAAATACTGACAACAGGCTGCACTCCTAATAAGGAAGGGCAGGCTGGCCGAGGCTCTCTGTAAATATCCCTCAGGTCTGAGAAAGACAGAGGAAGGGAGCTGGGGAGGAAGAGGGAAGCGGATGGATTGCAGCCTTATATGGACAAAGCTCTGCTTTTCCCAGGGTTTGTGGCTCTGACCCCCGGCACGATGCCAGATGCCACACAAACAGCTCCTCAGCGCCACCAAGTGGTGCAACTCATGCAGTGCTGAGGGTGAGCTAAGGCTGAAAGGAGATCTATATTGTTTGTTAGTTTTCATCTAGAAATACTTGTTGCTTGTGGGGCTCTCTTCAAAATGTGTTGTTAGTGTGTCTGTTAGGGGCCTTGGCAGGTTAACTTGGGCCCCACATCTATTAAAGTGTTAACTTGGCTTTTATCCTGTTTTTTTAAAGTATTACTTTGACATGTTTTGCCTTTATTTGATAGCTAAAGCAGAGAAATGACAGGAAATGAGGGGAAATAGAGAAATGACATGCAGAAAAGGCCCCCAGCTGGATGAAAACTCCGGATGTTGCATTCTGTGGTCGGCAACTTGACCTCGAAATGAACTATGTTGAAGAAAAAACACGTTTTAACTCTTGTTGTGGTGGTCGTGGGGCTGCGTAAATAACTTCCACCAAATGCCCCCATATGGACAGGGGCAGCACTGCCTGCAACCCCAATTATAGAGATAAAAATAGATCATTAATAATATGTATTTGTACAGCACTTAAGATAAAACAAGGTAAAAGCAAAACCAGTTATTTAAACTCTGAACAAGATTCCAAATTGTCCCAAATTATCATGAGGCTTGTTGGGACTGTAAAATAAGAGATAACAGCAAAAAAGGTAAAAAGGGAGTTTATAGAGCCTGGTGAGCAGAGTGGATGTGACATGATTTAGTTAGGAGAGAGTGACGTGGTGTTCTTGGAAGAGATAGGATAGAAATGTAAACACACTCAATGTGACCTGCAGAGTATTTTTACAGCCTCAGCCAAGCGGCCCTGCATGGTGTTTTAATTGTGAATATGTACGAATAAGGTGGCAGCCATTACAGCCTTAACTAAGACTAACACTGTACACCTGTAACTAAAGTTTATTATTTACTCTGTTTAGACCTTTTAGTTTAATTCATACACAGAGTGATACGTGCACTTGAGGTTTCATTTAAATCTAATGAGCCTGTTTATTAAGTGGTGATTACCAGTGGTGGAAAGTAACTACATTTACTCAAGTATTGTACTGATGGTACTATGAGGTGAGGTACTATTTTGACATATTTTTTCTACTTTACTTGAGTATTTCCATTGAATGCTACTTTATACTTATACCGGACTTTTTACTCCACTAGATTTATTTTAACACTCACAGTTAATTGTGCATAAACACATATATGCTTTTATGGTATATAATGCAGTACTGTACTACTAATCTGCACAGTATTTCAATTATCTAAACTGCTCCATATTGACTAATAGTCAAATAAAATATTACAAACATAATAATATAATACTGTAAAAACACATATTCTGCAACATTTACTTTTACTTTTGATACTTGAAGTACACTCAGTTGATAATACTTCTGTAATCTATATTATTCTGAAATGGGACATTGTACAGAATGAGTGCTTTTTGTGCTTTATATATTGTAATGCTAATACTAGGCTACTGTACTTTTTTAAGTAACATTTTGAAAACATGACTTTAACTACTATTAGAGCATCTTAGTATTTAAGACCATAGTATTTGTACTTTCACTTGAGAAGGATCTGAGTACTTCCTCCAACACTGGTGATGTATTCAATGGATCCAGTGTAAACTGCACAGCTGGATCAACACACACTCTGCCTCATCCTCCACATTGAATCCATGCCGTGTTTTCCATCAGATCCATAATCCAGTCCAGGTTTTCTTTGCAGCACAGAGGGCTTTACTACAGTTAGGATACTCGACACTACAAACTTGGACCGTCTTTCTCAAAAACATTTGAGTTTCTCGCTTTTATGAGGCGTGAATTATAGTATGAAGTACAGCACATAAGCTGTTTTCTGTAGGTTTAACTTTACAGAACAAGCGCTTTGGATCTCCTGCTGGTTTTTTCTTCACTTTGTTTTTCCCCCCAGCATTCCTTTTTTCTTGCAGAAACAGATGCGTCTGCCTTTTCATGCGTGAGTGAAACACTGTACTTGTCTGGTAGGACTGTTGACTCCAACTCTGCTAACTTTTAAAGAGTGGCTTAGCTTGATTTCTTAGATTGGATGTTTATTGTTTGTCCTAGGATCATTTGAAATCTTTCTGATCTTCTATTTGTTTTATGATGTCTTTGGATGACACATGCCTTGTGACACAAAAGTGACAAAGTACACAATCTACAAATAGACTTTACTGGCAGTAACCTGTGAAAACTGTGTGTTTGGTTCCACTAAAAGTTTCCAGCAATGGTCAAATGTCTCATCATCATGCAACTGGAGATATTTTTGTGTAATCCAGTTATATTTTATACAGACATTTAACTATTATAATCACATTTAATGTGTATCATTTTGCAAAAAGAGAACTGATGTAAACATATAAATGTTTTCTACCATAGGTGAAATAATTGTTCACTGTTGAAGAGCTGTGACCCTCGCAACTATCCCTGACTACAAAGTAAGGACCATCTCGTCGCCATGTCCTTTGAGGAAGTCGAAGACCCCTACATCTTCTCCACCGACACTCTACCCAGCGACCGCCGCTTCCTCCCTCCTCTGGCCAATGGGCTGCTGGGATGGAGGGTGTACAACAACATCATGCACATGGGTGGCGTGTATAACGGGGAGGGGGGACGATGTCACCGAGCAGACGTCCCCTGTCCCCTCGCCGTGAGGGTAGAGTCAGAAGAACCAGGCCAGAACACATACAGCATGAACACACACACAGGTAGAGTCTGCAGGGGGGGGGGGGGGGACTCACAGGGACACAGGACTTGGGTCACATGACTTGAAAATAGACTCAAGTTACATTTGATGACTTTAGACTCAACTCGACAGAATAAAATAAAAATGCAGCTCCACATGGCCTTCAGCACCAATCACTTGGCTTGAGCCTTTTGACTTGAACCGTTTTTAGCTTCTCCCAAGCTAACCCACTCCCCTTGATTATATCATGCAAGCATTCATCCACTGAGACTTCTATAGACGTAGCCGGCCCCGGGGCGGGCCTACCTGAATGCGCGTGCATCTCACCTCATAAAAGGAGGCCTCGCCTCCTGACTGTCATCCTACACTTCTCTTCAGCAAGCAGCATAGGACAGACAGGGCCCCCGAGTAGAGGGCTTCGCCTGTGCTTATATAACAAGGGTTACCATACGTAACCCCTCGTTATATCTCTCACAGGCTATATGTATACACGCGCTGTTGTCCAACAACAACACTGTTCCATCTCACTGTCCCTGACCGGCTTTCTGGTTAGCAGCCGCTGCGCCTCACTCACCTCTCCCTCGGTCGTAACCGTGGAGAAGTCGGGGCTGCGGCTGACAGAGCACACTCTGACGCGCTTACTCCCGCCGCCAGTCAGCTCCTGGAGGACGGTGCACCCCACCCAGCACCCCTTCGCTGAGGCGGAGCCGGGGCGGGAGCCCGTCGGGTTCGGCCAGCCATGTCCCCGTAAGTGCCGGTACTGGGCCGGTTCTCCGGGACAGACCGCGGAGGCAGAGGGGGCAACGGGAGCCACGGGGGCTCTGTACCGGCGCCTCTCTCTCTCTCCGCCTTACCACCACCGGGCGCTCTCTCCCTTGAGGAGGGGCCTGAGGGCGAGCCAGCAGCAGCATTCGGCTGAGATGCGCCCACTCTTCCTCCAAGCGACTGAAACACTGGGTGACCGAGGAGATCGACCCGAGGAGATCGACCCGAAGAGCCCTTCCGTGGAAACGGGGGCCCCAAGAAGATCATCTCGGTCCTTCTTGGTCAGTGCGGTCAAACCTAGCCACACGTGACGCAACGCCACGTGGCCAGGGACATCACACGACCGGCTGCGGTAGCCATACCGTGGACCAGATTATTCATCTGGCCCACGCAGCGGTCCGAGTAATCACTCTTGTCTGTAGGCAGGGAGGCGGGGAGGCGGGGATGTCCTGCTGAGGGGTGATCAGCGAGACTCCCAACACACCAAGATTACTGGCCGCCGCCGCCATCTGCGCTGCGAGCCTGAACATCTTATCCAGATATTCGAGGATTTCACGGTCACGCGACAGCGGGAGCAGGGGCCTTCTCCCCTCTGCCCACCCGGCTGCCTGCGGAAGCAGATGGGCCGCCAGGCTTTCATCCAGGGGGGGCACACCGGGACACTCTGTGTCCGAGTGGCCCTGCACCCTGAGGATTCCAGCCCATGTTGCCACTGGAGCCTTCGTCCTAAGTGGCTGTCGCCACGTCACCTCCACACACCGCCAGATGTCTGGCAGGGGGGGAAAAACGAAGGCCGGCTGCGCCGGACGGGCCGGGCCGTAGAAGCCCTGACGTAGGCGGCTCACCGGCCACTGTGGCAGCGGTGGGGGGGGTAAGCCTACATGCTCCGCCGCCATAGTCATCACCGCGCAGACCTGTGATGCCCGTCCGGTCCGCTGGCATGGCGAACACGAAGGGCACTCCCTCATCGTGCTCCTCCATATCCACCACCTCGAGGTCTGGGTCCTCCGCCTCTTCCGGCGAGACGTACCGCTCTTGGAACTGCTCCAGCCGCTGGCGGCGGTTGAGCCGTGGGATCAGGCGACAGGCGTTGCAGGCCGGAAGCGGGCCCAGGTTGGCCGCCGCGTCAGACCCCAGGCACTCGATACACCAACGGTGGAGGTCGGCGCCTGCAATTACGTCCAGGCACGAAGGGCAGGGTCGCTGCTCCAACAATGTTGAGTCCATTTTTTTCACTTTCTCTCTCCGTCTCTCTTCACTCAGTTGTTCTCTTGCTTGCTGAAGAGAAAGGGATGACAGTCAGGAGGCGAGGCCTCATTCAGGTATGCCCGCCCCAGGGCCGGCTACGTCTATAGAAGTCTCAGTGGATGAATGCTTGCATGATATGATCAAGGGGAGTACCCATAGAGTCCAGTAGAGGGCGGAGCCTGTGAGAGATATACCATAATTCCCCCGATCCACTCTATTTAAGCCAGAAGCATTGAATCAAGTTACAGGAGAAAACCATGAAGAACTGAAGTTACATTAATGAGAGCCATTGGGAGAATACATTACCAAATGTTATTTTGTTTTTACAAAGACTATGGTGATGAAGAAAACACAGTTATAGTATTTAACACATGCAGGTCAAAATTGGTCAAGAACGCATTATGACTAAAACTCGAAACTCAACCTTTAGGACTTGATCTGGGATTTAATTGCAAAGACTTGTGACTTGAAGACAATGACTTGGTCCCATCTCTGTTTCTGCAGTGAATGTCTGTTTGCGGGAATCTGTAAAAAATGTTCGCTGCTAATTGTCTCGTCTTCTCCTGCAGGCATTTTTACCCACACTCTGAGCTCGGCAAGTGTATCGGTGACACAGTCTCTGTACTCCCACCGACATTACCCCAACATGATGGTGATGGAGGTCCTGATGGTGCGCCAGGTGACTTCAGAGGAGCCGATCACTGTCAATCTGGTCGGTTCATTCACACCTCAGAGCAAAGACATCGTTTTCGAGTCTGGTCCTGATTACAAAGGAGGAAGGTGAGGTATAAACCATGTACAGTTCTGACTATATGTTACAAGTCTGATATCTTAAATAGTCTACATTCCTCTTTCCCTTAGTTACATCAATGGAAAGGTGTCCACAGCTGAGTACCCAGGAGGTTCCTGCCCAGCAGTGCACCTTATCTGGACCCCCATCCCCCCCACCCTGATGCTGAATGCAGACCAGAGCCAGGGTCGATGGGGCTTCGTCCTGGTTGTGGCCAACAGTTTAGAGTCTGCCGAGGCCAAATACGACGAGAGCCTGGATCTGATGGCGACTGGTAACCTGCGTCCGTCTCACGAGAAGGCCTGGAAAGAGCTGTGGCTGCAGAGCACGGTGGAGGTGACGGGGTCAGACAGCCTCTGCAAGGCTCTGATTGGCAGCATGTTTTACCTCCTCAGTGCTTTCGCCTCCATCAACGACACCTGCAGCTCCTTTGGGGGAGTCAGTCCCGGCGGGCTGTCTAATGGAGGGGATGGTCAGGACTACTGGGGACATATTTTCTGGGACCAGGTAAGGCTAGTGGCTGTTTAGGACTAGTTTTGGTATTTGCTTGTTGTTTGTATTACACAACAACCCTAACTTCCTGTGACAGGACATTTGGATGTATCCTGCCATAGCCCTCTTCTACCCCAAGCTAGCCAGATCTGTGCTGGAGTACAGGGTGGGGACTGTGGAAGGTGCAAGAGACAACGCCCAAAAGCAGGGCTTCAAGGTAAAAGAGCAACTTTCCCACACTTTGTCCGCTCCCCTAGTGTCTTTGAATGGATCTGGGTCATCGCTCGAACATCTCTGAACCCACGGATATCTTTTGTCATTTTTAGTTTACATGTGTTACTATGTTTCTTCTTACACAAACAAATGTTTCTTCTAACAAGGGTTGATATCAAAGAAGAAAAATATAATACTTACAAAAACAACTAATGGCGCATTTCCACTACACGGTCGGCCTCGGCCACACTCGGTACGGCTCGGTACGGCTTGGCCGCGTTGGGCCTTAACAGGGCCGACTCACTTCATGCTGCGCTTCCATTACAGTTTAGGAACTGGGGTAGTTACTATAGTAACGCAGTGTAGGCGGAGCCGTGACGTCATCTTCAATGAGTACTCCAGAAACACAACACAGCCGTTAGCTGTTAGCACTCAGAGCTCACAGCTCCTTATATATGTTCAGAAACTCGACAAAAGTTAAACAAGTACACACCACAGACTGCCTGTGTCATGGTGAATACAGTCGCTGCTTTATTTATGTCTGTATAGGCCGTTGTTGTGAGTGTGGACGGTCAGAGCATATACTGCGTTAGCTTAGCCAATCTCCATCTAGAAAAACACGCATTTTAAAAGGTTTTTCGCCTGCCGTCTGTCTGCAGACTTGACAAAGCATTAATTCATGGTTTTTACTAACCGGTATCAGTATGTTGTTACTTCGGCATCATTTTGAAACGTGTATTACAATTAAATCACGGTCAAATATGTCCATCTTGTTGTAGTTCTAGCCCTCTTGCCAGCGCTCCTCTCTCTAGTTTAGCATACTCAGCCCGACTCAGCCCTGTTTGTTGGCCCCGATAGAACCACAATTTTCTAGGGCCAGAAAAGAGGTGAAAAAGTGGCCCCGCGCCGTGCCGCGCCGGAACTAGGCCTAGTGGAAGCACAACCAAAAAAGGGGACGGCACGACACGGCACGCTTAAAGCGAGCTCCGCGCTGCAGTGGAACTGCGCCATAAATGTGCTGTCAGTCATTGTTCGCAAAAACTTAAAAATAAATACATATATATTTCTTACCATATTTGAGCATATTACCTCAAAATATATTGGCTATAGTTTTATGTTATTCCAAGTCAAACCAAAAAGTGACAGTTTGCAGACCATTTACATGCTCAAAAACCTATATAACTCACTACAGGAAAAGGAAACCCCAAAAAGCATAATAGGATAGCATAATTTCAGTTTTTGATTTCAGATTTAGCAAACCCTGTGCTTTTGATAGTGACTCATTGAGAAGTAGACACACACACTGTGTGCTGGCCAGGAGGAGTGGCGGTGGCGGCAGCAGGAAACCAAAACCAACTGCTGGTGGCAGAATAACAGCCGTGCTTGGTTTATTTTAGGGTTAATATTTGTTTTATTTAGGGTTAAAGATGGGGTAGGTAAGTTTGAGAAACCGGCTCGAGATCGCTAGAATTTGAAAATACACAACCGGAGAAAATCTGCCACTTCCTTATAGAGCCCCGCCTCCAACACACACGAACGCGCACATGACCAATGAGAGCACGAGATAAGTTTGTGCACAGATGGAAGGCTGACAGGCAGGTAGGCCATCCAGTTATTTTAGCCGGGCCGGCTAAAATAATTGGTCGTACTTTTTACAGTACTACGGCTTCCACAGATGACATTTTTTTAATGGATTTTTTGTCAAAGCACTTAAGATATTCATTGCTATCGGGATGTTAAGAGCATTCCATGGAATATAACAAAAAGTGTATCTCGAGCCGGTTTCTCAAACTTACCTACCCCACCTTTAATATTAGTTTTATGTTTTTTTCATTTAATTTCAAACCTTTATTTAACCAGATGGTCCCATTGAGATCATTAACCAAAAAATTTTTTTATATTTTATCTTTGTAGTCTTGTTTTGTATTTTAACAATAACCATGAAACCATATCTGAGTCTTCTGAGTGAAAGATGTTGTCTCTGCAGGGACTGAAGTTCCCGTGGGAGAGTGCAGTGTCAGGCCGGGAGGTGTGTCCCGAGGACATTTATGGACAACAAGAGATTCACATAAATGGAGACGTCACCCTGGCCTTCCAACACTATCTCTACCTCACTGAGGTACGCTCTTTAATCCCCACTCATTGTCATAGTGTCTCTTTCTCACTTCTGTACAAAAACACCCTGTGTGATGATCTCTTTGTTGCAGGATCTGTCCATGTTCACAGAGGGCAAGGGCAAGGAGGTGATATACGGGGTGGCTGATTACTGGGTTTCAAGGGTATCATGGAACCCTGAGGACAAGAAGTATCATCTCTTAGGTACAAATCATTTTTAGAAAGAGGTTCCATTTAGCTTAGCATGATTATCAGGCTAATAATTTAATAAAAGCTACATTTCAAATGTCTGACTTCATTTATTTTATCTATATATAGAAAAACTTGTGATTTAAAAAAAAAACGATTTGTAATAAAGTAGAATTTGTTTCTTGTGTTAAAACTATTTTATATATGTTTTCTTAGCACTGACAATACACAGAACATTTATTGTACCAGCCAAAAGCCACTTTTCATTTGTAGTCCCTTATTTACTTTTTTTTTTAATATTGATTTTGTAATGTCAGATTTAATAATAAATGTTTTATATTTATACATGTTAGATACTTAAAAATATGACATTAATCAAAGCATACTGTATGATTGTAATGTATTAGTTATTGAATAACAGCCAGGATATATCTTCTATTGAGATGTCAATTTAGCTTCACATAATTATCAGAATATATATATTTATTAACTAAATTAAAGACGTGTTACTTATCTACACTGGACAACATTCACTAAGTTGTTGATTGTTAGAACTCTTTTAATGTATTTTTTACATGTATACATTTTAGATACGCTGTATAAAAAGCCTGCATGTAATAGTTATTAAGAAATTACATGCATGTTTTTTATTGAAATATTATGAAGCATTTCCCCTTTGTGCCATTCAGGTGTCATGCCACCTGATGAGTATTATTACAATGTCAACAACTCAGTGTACACAAACACAGTGGCCAAATTCAGGTACTAGTATTCAAATATTTCCCTGCCTTGCATATTGACTCATCACTAATAAAACTAAAAGCTTCACACTTTTCAGTCTCCAGTTCGCTGTAGAGTTGGCTGAACTCCTCCAAGACCCTGCACCGAAGGAATGGAAAGAAGTGGCCGATCAACTCAAAATACCTTTTGACGAAGAATACCAGTACCATCCGGAGTATGACGGCTACATCAAAGGTATTTTTTTTTTGTCCATTTTGACACTGACATAAATAAGAAAGAAGAAATGTCCACATGTGAGGAAGCGCACACACTCCCTCACTAACATTTTTGGCTTAACAATTTGTTTGTTAAGAAAGGTAGTACATGTTTCTTCAGAGTTGTCTTTATTTCAGTTAAAGTTATAAAAACAGTTTACATAGAAAAACTAGTAAAGTGCATCTAAATTAATTTGGTTGGGAAGAGAGGGGAAAGGGGATTTGGTGTTTGTTCCTTGCAGCACCAGGCATGCAGTTTTTGTTTCTGTGGAATAATGTGGAAGGCATAGTGGGATGTCAGTTATAAACATGCGTTATATCATGGACGTCCAACCCTCGAGATGCCAAGTCTGTCGCGACCAGGATACGAACTTGGCTGTTTTTGAAGTCTCTGAGGGCCTCTTCACGGTCACACTGCTCACGGTCACCATGGAGACTCTGCACAGCCATGCACTGTCACATGTCACTGGCCAGGTCAGATGCCTCATAAGGGCTGTGCACGTGTCTTGCCCCCCAGCCTCGGCAATGGCTGGCCCATCAAGCTGGGTCGCCGGTAAGGCAGTCCATTCGTCCCTGTACTCATCATTACTTTCACAAAGGTTATGTAATATGCAACATGCTACCACCTGGATTTTGATCTTGTCCATCTCGCAGTCGTTTCTTTTCATCAAGCACCGCTACCTGCCCTTCAGTCTGCCAAAAGCGTTCTCCACCACCACTCGTGCTCGGCTTGTTTTGTTATTGTACGCAAGTTGCTCAGGCTGCATTAACTCAGTTACAAAGCTGTATAACATGAGCACAAACAGCACAACTTCAGTCGACTCCATCTCCATCATGTCTGAGGTCGGAAGGTAAACAACAGACGCCTAATGTACAGCGAGTGGGTGGGCGTCGCAGTATACGCGGGAAGTTTTTCTTCTTCTTCTTCTTCTCTTGTTTTGTAGCGGATTGCAAACAACTTTAAGGTGCATACCGCCACCTACTGTACTCGCCGTGAAGTGGTTTGTGGCCTGCCAGTAAAGCCAAAGCAGAAGAAGAAGTGACGTCAGCGGCTCATTTGCGTAATCTTCCCTCAGGGAAAAGTACTCCGGTGTGAACGCGATCTGTACTAAGTGCCCTGGGGCAAAAAGCGCCGGGGCTCTGAGTGCCGGAACTAAGTACAGGAAAGTACTTGGTGTGAACGCGGCTATTCTTCTTGCCAACAAAGATGAGGACTTTTTCCTCGGGCAGCATGTTCCTGATGAAGTCGAACAAGTAGGACTTTTTGTCTTCCTCATGGACGATCAGCACCGTTTGGTCCACTGTGTTAACCGCCGCCAAGTCCAGGGTTCCCACATAAACCATCATGGGGTTCTTTAGATCGTCTCACACCTGTGGGCCAGGTGGCACTGGTCATGACAGTCTGTCGGTCGGGCCGGATGTCGAGCAGAATCTTCATAATCTGGGGTTCAAAGCCCATATCCAGCATCCGGTCGGCCTCGTCCAGCACAGATAAAAGCCGACCGCAGACCAAGTAGGTGATGGAGCGCAGATTGATGAGCTTGTTCATCTGGAGGTCGTTCAGTCGGCCTGGTGTCGCTATCACGATGTCCACGCCGCTCCTCACCGCGTTGATCTGAGCTCGCCTGTCCCTCCGCCATAGATACAGACACTTTTGTAGCCTTTAAAGCTGTACTTGCTGCACTCCTGTTCAATCTGCAGGGCCAGCTCTCTGGTGGGAGTCAGCACCAACATGCCCGGACCCCCCCGCTTAGCTCTGGGCACAACTTGTCCGTCCATGTGGATGAAGCCTGGCAGCAGGTAGGCCAGAGTTTTGCCCGTTCCTGTCTGAGCGATGGCGATCACGTCGTCTCCGCTCAGAGACACTGGCCACGCCTGAGACTGGATAGGTGTTGGTTTTTCAAAGCCAACTCGATCAATATTTTCCATGATCTCTGGGAAAAGCTTGAAGGCCTCCAGGAAGGTGCGACAGGGATTTGGGAAGGGACGCTTCTCCCCATCCTCCAGAAGGTCATCCACAAAGATATTGTTATTCTCTTTCCTCCATTCAATGACTTCCTCCGCTGAGAGTATGGAAACACTTTCTGCCACCATGTAAAAGTTCTTCTTCAATTGTTACAAAGTGAGGTGCAGGTGAAAGAATGATACGTGGAGAGAGGGTTTTCTTGCAAAAAATAGACAGGCTTTTTATTCTTAGCCTTCCACATTATTCCACAGAAACAAAAACTGCATGCCTGGTGCTGCGTTCACCAGCAAGGAACAAACACCAAATCCCCTTTCCCCTCTCCTCCCAACCACATTTATAGGAGACTGTCCACCTTCCCAATCCAACCTGGCCAATCAGGTCATGGTTCTGAAAGCGGAGTGAAGAGTTAAATACAAGATTAAACACTGTGGTCTACATTTAATACAATCCTAAAGGCTTAAGTAAATTCATAATTGCATCAACATAAACATTGTACCTTCAAAAACAACAAGTTATGCTTAAAACGGATAGTTTTTAACCTAATTGACACTCATAAAATCACACATTTCCTGACCAATCACGTCCAAGACTCCGCCTACTCATACGGCACATATAAGGAGTACTTTGGAGGCGTGCTCCCCCTTTGAGCAGTGACACAAAATGGCTTCCAGGTCTGAACAAAGGAAATGGTGATTACTTTGTGATTGTGTGTTTTACAGACTGACAAATTAATTTAGATGCACTTTACTAGTTTTTCTATGTAAACTGTTTTTATAACTTTAACTGAAATAAAGACAGCTCTGAAGAAACATATACTACCTTTCTTAACAAACAAATTGTTAAGCCAAAATGTTAGTGAGGGAGTGTGTGCGCTTCCTCACACCATAACATGTTGAGAATGTCTTGTGTACGTCTCACAGGTCAGCCAGTGAAGCAGGCAGACACGGTGATGCTGGGATACCCTCTTGGTTTGGAAATGTCCCCAGAGATCAGGAGAAATGACCTGGAGGCGTACGAGCCAGTGACAGACCCTGATGGTCCGGCCATGACATGGGTGAGACACAGCATGCTGTACGGGACTGTGTGTGAGATTTAGTGCTGACTCGAGTGCCCTTTTCTTGTGATTACACTTGAATGACGAATAAAATATAAAGCAGTGGCAAAGGGAGTGTTCAAACATAAATCAAATCCTCAATTAAAGCAAAAATAACATTTAAAAAATACTTCAATGAGTAAAAAGTAAAAAAAACATAGGTAGAAAGTCTCTAAAATGTTTCTTAAAGCTTCTGAAATCAGCATGGTCCAAAACATTAACGGTTGATTAATATTAACCCACCATTTTTCATCCTATTTATTTGCATATTTATTGTTTTGGTTTAACATAAAAAGCAGATTTTATGGATAGAAGTGGAGCTCACTTTTTATGTACTTTAAATTGTTGGAGGTTTAATATATAATAATTACATTTATTTTAATAGTTCAACAAAGGTTTAGTAGAATCTGCAAATGAACAAGTATATATACAGTAGCTGTGGTAAATAAGTTAAACACATTTTAGAAATTGGTACATATATTTGTTATGTTTAACAGTGTCCACTTGCATTGAAAGTAAAAGCCTGTGGTTGACGTTCCTTCTTAATCAAGTATGTGTTTGTAACTATGCTTTTGCTTTCCGTTACCAGGGTATGTTTGCAATCGGCTGGCTGGAGCTGGGGGAGGCTGAGAAAGCTCAACATTTACTTGAGAAGTGCTTCAAAAACATCCAGAGACCGTTCCAGGTGTCTTTCTGACTCAGACAACCACACAATGCTAATAAATGCCTCTCTGCTGGATATCTAGTGAATGTGTGGTTACCTCTCCTCACAGGTATGGAGTGAATCATCCGATGGCTCTGGTGCAGTTAACTTCCTCACAGGGATGGGGGGATTCCTGCAAGCTGTGCTCTTTGGTTATACTGGCTTCAGGTCAGTTAATGAAAAAACACTTCAATATGTAGACAGCAGGAAGGCAGTAAAACAAAGATTAAAATGCTGTTTTCCCCCTAGAGTTCAGAAGGAATGCCTGGCCTTTTCCCCACATCTTCCCAAGGACATATCGGAGCTCTGTGTCCGCGGTGTGAGCTACCTGGGCAGTCAGATGGACTGGCTGCTGAGGAAAGACGAGGTTTGTATCATACTGAGGGAACAGGGACAAACAGCTGGCAGCACTAAGCCCTGCGATCTGCAGGTGGTCCTGAAGGCATCAGGAACTAAAATCCCTCTCACACCAGGTAACATTTTTGTCTTAAGAACAAGGTCTATTTACACTTAAAGTGGAAATGGACAACTTTTTAACCCCTGCCCCACCGCACTCGTGATTCCTCTTGGTTTTATTGTTGGTGCCTTTGTCACGAAGACAACAGGTTCTCTTCAATAAGACATGAGACATTTTATGGTTTTGGTAGTCATACAACTAAATGACAATCAAAACAATAAGATAAAAAAAAAACAAGATTGGATAATAAAAAAGGATAAAAATAGAAAATGCTTTTTGCAAAAAGTTATATGTTTAGTTTTTAAACTGTGCCATTCCTGCTGCTGGGGTTAGTAACTGAAAATACATATATCATTCATACATATATAGAGGCAGACAGAATGCATAGTGAAAATTATGCTTATAGGGAAACAATCCTAACGACAATGGTGTATTTATACTATAGCCATGCCATCTTGCAATTAAAATGTACTTCACAATGAGGCTAAAAACGATTCTGTCGCCACTATACGTTTGTTATAATGAAGAACACACTTAAACCTCCAAACTACAGCCCAAGAAAAAGACAAGCAGATAATCTGTACATTACAATTACAAATGACAGAGAAACACTAAGTATAAAATTATAGTATTTGAGTGAAAAATAAGATGATGAAGAATCTCAAACTGCACGCATAAAATATTTTACAAATCCAGAAATTGCCCCATCTGTCTTACCCATGGAGAAAATAATGAAATAAAAATAATGAAGAGTACTTGCTCTCTTTATATTGAAAAAAGAACTGGCTCTTCAGACAAGTGAGGCTTTTAATACCATAATAATTGCTATCAAGTCTCATATTATAAGAAAAATGGCTCAAATGTTTCTAGGGACCTTAGGGAGTGTCATACCCTTTGCCAGAATACTAGGGGTGATATACCATTTGTCAAAACACATAGGAGTAAATCTGGGCAATCGGTGCTGCAATCATTTGAATAAAGGATACCAAGATGCTACTAATAAAACAATACTAATAAACAAAGAATCATGTGTATCTATTATCTGTAAATTGTCCTGTTGGACCAAGTTTGATATGATTTTAGAGGTAAAGTGTTATTGTTACTTTGCTCCTTAATTACACTTTTCATATTTATTTTTTGCATTGACGCAGTAAGAGATTATTCATTGTATACATCTATATTTTCAGGGAAGCCGGTAACTTTTCCTCTGGAGCCCGGGTGTGTTTGTAAACTGGTTTCAATGTCTTTCTGTTGGCCTCTCTGAAACAGCAACCATCATCATTTCATTTACACACAATACAAAATATCTTCATATCAATGCTACTGTTAAGTTGTATGCTGCCATTAACTTCAGCAATAATGGACAAAATGTATGAAATTCCTATAGTGCTATCATAATAATATGCCATGTTACAAAGTCATGTATCAATGATATTGTATTGTAAATTATATATTCAAATAAAACTCATTACACACTGTGCAAAGTTTATTCTTCACATTTGATTTGTTTGTGGATTTGTTATAAGTAAAACCATATTAAACAATGCAGTCAAGCCTTAGTTGTGTTGTGTGACTTATCCTCTATAGCAGGGGTATTCAACTAAAATTCAACGAGGTCCAGTTAGAGAAAATCTCCCCATTCAAAGGTCCGGAACATCAAAATGTCTAACTTGCTCTATGAATTAGTGTGATATATTTAAGCAATAGCTCACGACAGGCCGTGGTATATGCTCGCGTCGGGCCGAACCACGCCCCTTAGCTGTGATATAATGAGCATATATCACGGCCTGAAGTGAGCTATTGCTTTTATAAAACGGTTACCAAGTGTGGCAATATGAAAGAAAAATACACACTCTAATTTAAATAGTTTTTATTAGTAAATAATGATGTTCAAAATAAAATAGTCCCTCTGTTGCCTTCTGCACGAAACATAGTGCGAGGTGGTTGCTATGCAACAACACTAACAACAGCTAGCGAACATATTAGACAGAGAGCGTTGATCCATTATTTGGCTATTTATTTACATTAATGTGTATGTTGCCGTTTATTGTGCACCCACTGAAAAACTGTCCAGCATCAGTAGCATGGCTTACGTGGTTACTTGTATAGGCTGAGGTTGTTCTAGGCTGTTGCTTGGCGTGGCGAGAATATTGCTCCACTTTCTCCGGTCCCCGAGATTCGGCTTCCAGTAGCTCTGGAGAGAGCTTTCGCACCTGTGGCCACTAACGGTCATAATTTCTCTGCTTTGTTTCAAGACCCGCATCAGAAAGCTTTTGAATGGTGATACTTTTCCAATTGGTCTTGTTGGAGTAGAACACTTCTGCTACGCGCCGTTCGTTGGATGAGGCTGGATCTCTATTAAATTAAGAAAGGAATTGAAAACACCGGAATCAAAGTTATAACAAATTATCTGAGTTTACTTCTAGTAGGAAACCAAACACATATACAAGTTATACAGAGTACTCGAGCACTCCGGACTTTCAGGTTTGTGATGCGATGCGGATAAATGCGTCAGGATCAAACCACTCATCAAACCAAAAAGAAATTGGACTTCAGGTTTGTGATGCGATGCGGATACAGTTATCAGGACCTGCCACTCACCAAACCAAAAAAGCATTTTTACACTCAAAAACCTCAGTATTCATATCTGTCTTTGGGGCGGAGATTTGTCGAGTCTTCCTTCCCATTTTTCTCCCAAGCGAATTAGAGAGCCCCTGGGGAGGAGCTGTTTAAACTGACCACCTCCCCCAAGTGCCCTGACTGGCTGGATTCGCTTCTGGCCGGGTTCAATCAGAGGTCTGACCAGAGAGTGAGATCCCAAGCCACACCAGGTCAAAAGTCAATGTTTATCTTTACCTTATCTTACTCTACATTCCTTTCCCAGGGGATATTTTCACCTAAACTATCCTCCTTCAGACATTTAAACTCTTCTCCACCTATTTAACGATGTCTTTTAACGACTTAATGACGACATCTGCTTTTAGGGGTGAAACCCAGGCAAGGTGTGTGTATACACAGAATCTCTGGATCAGTGAGTTTGGAAAGTAAGAATAACATTCCTATTCTATATATATATATTTGTCCGGCAGTGGCTCAGTCAGTAGGGGCTTGGACTGGGAGCCGTAGGGTCGCTGGTTCAAGTCCCCGACCAGACCTAAATATGGAGTGTGGACTTCTACTTGGAGAGGTCCCAGTTCACCTCCTGCCCTGCCGTGGTGCCCTTGAGCAAGGCACCGGACACCCCCCTTCCCCCCCCACTCCCATTGCTCCCCGGGCGCTGTACAATAGCTGCCCACTGCTCCTAGTACTAGACTCCTTGTACTAGGATGGGTTAAAAGCAGAGGCCAAATTTCACTGTGTGTGCTGTGTGCTCTGCATGTGTGACCATTAAAGAGGGTTTCATCCCTCCCTATTCTTCTATATATAATTACCCAAAACTGTTGTGATTACATAAAACAGTTCAAACAATACATGTTCACTAAAATACAATTCAAAATAATACATGTTTACTTCAATACAGTGTAGAATCATATCTTTTTACTTCAATCTACCTGCTCTTCACGTAGCTCTACATGTCGTCGTTTAGGTGCTTTTTAATCTGGAGATAGGCACTCCTCAATCCACTCCTCCATAGTAAGACCCCCCCCCCCCCCGGAGGTCGAAGTTAATCTTAAATGTTTTTGCGGACCTTTTTGATTACAGATTTGAAAACATCGTTGCTTGCTTTAAAAGTAGCACAATTCATTATGTCAAACCTTGGAAAGTATCTAAATATCCCTGCCCTAATGCCAAAGGAACTGCACACTGAATATGTTTTTGCCGTTTGATGTCTATGTCTGGACCGTTGCGTAAAAAGGAGGGTTTCTGCCTCGTTACTTCTCCGCTGCTTTCTTGTTCCAGTTTGAAAACTGTATACTGTTTATCTCAGACGCGGAGGGATACTAAGTTGTTGTGAAAAGTAACTTACAATTCTACCCGTGGTATACGCTCAGTATACCACGGCTAAGAACCAATCAGATTGCTTGATTTTACTTGTCCGTTTTATAAATTGAAGTAGCCTGTAGCTGTATCAACGTCTGCATGTAATCAACAAAAGACTGCCAATCAAATAAAGAAAGTACAATTCATAAACAACAATATTTATTGTCAATTAACATTGAACTATACAGATATACAGTAAAATACTGTGGATATATATGTGTAATTTTCCTCTCTGGCTGCATTTAAAAATAAAATAGAACATAAATAAAATAGCTTTGAAAATATGTGCATCTTAAAAGTGCTTAATTTTAGATAAATAAAATAAAGTGTAGCAGCAGCTTGAGTTTCCCTTTTTCTTTGTTAACCGTTTCACATCATGACTTAACAGTTTCAGCCGATTATAGAACAACATCAGTCTTTACACATCATAACAATAGAACAGTTTTAAAGTTTCTCTTTCTTTCCCTCTTATATTGCAGTCCCTCACTCACTTTTCTTTAATTCAGTGCGAGAATTGAGCTTGAGCTTGTCCTGCCAGGAGTTTAAATCTGGGCAGAAATGGTGTCAGGGCCATTCTCATACACACATGCAGGTGCTCATTGGTTAGCCTCGGTTAGCCTGACCTGGAACGATATTTAGTTTTAATTTTGATCCTGGTGTGACCTCAGTTCTGACTTGAGAGGGAATGTTTGGTCAAACACTTTGTGTTTTGTCTCATAGTGGCGTTTTGGCACTTTTAATGAGCGCTACGGTCTCTGAACAAATGAGACACTGGTTCTGTGCTCCCAGTGGGCAGGATGAACATGAATGAGTCCGTCCACTCAGGGTTAAAAGCTCTGTTCTCACAGTCTACTTTACTCTTCTTGGAGAGCGCCATGTGTAATTATGTGTCTCTCCCTCTCTGCCGCTAACCCGCCTGTTCACTCTCCTCTCCGCTTCTCTCCCTGTGTATCGCTAATTATTCTCTTCGCTCACTTTCCTCTCCGCTTCTCTCTGCCGCTCTCTCATCTCTTCTTCTGTGTTTCTCTCCCTATATCGCTCACTTGTCTCTTTCGCCCCCTGTTGGCGGCGGTTAAAATGGAATCGCCCCGTCAAAATTGAATTCCCCTATTAATGTATTGATTATATGTCCGGGTCCGTATAGGTCGGCGTCTGGGTCCGGATCCGGACCGCGGTCCGCCTGTTGCCGACCCCTGCTCTATAGCTTTGTTTACTGGAGGGAGAGAGCAACCAACTACTGGAGAGGTGGTGACATTTATCTTCCCCTATATTATTAAAAACACTGTTCCCCGGAAATAGTCCCTTACTTTATGCTAATGGTTTCTTAAAAATATTTTAAAATCTTTTGACATTATTACATAATTAAAAGTACTGGAAACATTAAAGCCACTGTCAAACATGTGTTTAAGTTCAGTGGGCGGGGCGGAGAATATTCTGACATGGAAATCATTGGTTGATTCAAAAATCTGCGCTTGCGCAGTAACTACGCCCTAAACCTACACTGATTCGCTCGATTTGTTCACCCGTGACATTCCTCGCTATTGTTCTGAAGGCACGGTCCGCCCTCCCGGACAAGTTGAGACAAATCGAACAACCCCTCTATACGTCACTGAGCCTCGCATTTGAATTGGCTGGTGGTGGAGTTTTGAACTATTTAAACGGTTTCAGCGGGTTAGCGTGGAGCAGGGAAGTTGTTGAGAGTGGACACGATACGTAAAATAATGGGAAGATTTTAAGACATTTATATTCACGTCAATATGCAATTGATTTAGCTTTTAAAGCGGACAAACGAGTATCGGATTTACTTTTTTAAGAGACTTGGACATCTATGGTAAGGCTATGTATGTTTGACATCAAGGAAAATACCTTTAGCTATTTGTACGTTAGCTCAACCGCCTTACGTCGTAACGTTAGCATTTTAAAACCTTTACAGAGCACTTGTATGAACAATAATGTCATCAACTTAAATGAAATATTCGTGTATGTTGCCACACTATTAGTTTGACTTGATTTGACTTAAGGTGTTGCAGCCTCGATGGTCGCAGATCAGTGTTTCATGCTAGCTAAGCTGGGAAACGTTACCGTTGTTCAAAAATTCAAACGTTTCCGTTTATATGAGGCGTATCTTAAAGACTTAATAATGTCAAATAACTGCAAGCGTTATGTTGTTGTCGACCACCCTGATAACTAATAACAGTTTTCTACAACCTGTGCTAATGCGTCCGCGAAAATAGAAGACATTGCGCATGCACCGATTACATACAAAGACAAAATGGATCTAAAAAACAAAGCAAACTGAAATTACGTAGATTGATGCCAACAATTTCCTGAAACGAGTCGTTGATATGTTTCTGATTTATGAGTATTCATTTATGAAATCAAAGTTCTTATGTGACATTTTGCATAGAACTGGCTGTAAATACGATTGTCAGGTAACGTTTGCTTGAATGTGAGTGTTGACCATACCATGGTGTTGACAAAGAAAACTAAAAGCCAACTGTTTAAAGCTGTTAACTTTGAAATTGAGCTTTATATTTGTGTTTTTTTTGTATTCGAGGACAATTGATCAAACAGACAGTCGTTTTTCATTGAAATGTTTACATTGTTGCTATAATGGAAGATACAATATTTAATTATGTAAAGCATCATTAGTAACTATTATGTTCGGTCAATTCACATTCAAATAAAAAGGCCCTTTTTTAGATTTCCATGTTTTCTGTATATAATGGCTGCAGCAGTTGTTGGTGAGTAATTGGTGCATTACAAAATATAAATGGGTTGTGTTGGCTAGATTTGTCCAGGGTGCCATTGAAGGGGATTATAACAAGTGTCTTCAAGTAGGCATGCTAAAAGGAAAACAAAGAACAACCAGTCTGGTCTCTCATGATGTTTCTTGTATCAGTTTATACTTGCCATCTGAGGTGTGTACCAACTTGTGCTTATTTAATGATGCAGTCTTTCC